GAGAGAGCAGCCCCTGTGCAATGGGGACAGGTTTCCCAAGGGGAGGTGGCTTCTCTCTTTGTTTTTGTCCTCACCCCACCTCGGTGCTCCTTCCCGTGACATGCAGAATCCCCGGGGCTCTCGCACCCAGCCCGCAGCTGCACCTGGGCCGGTGGCGGTGAGGCAGCCTGTGCGTATGTAAAACACGGGCTCTCTGTCACACGCTGCTGACTTCCCTCCGCGAAGGAGGTGGCGGGGCGGGGGGACGGGCATGTCTCCTTTCCTGGCTCCTCACAGAATGCCCCACCGCACGGCGAGCTTGAGGGGGACAAGGGATGTCAGCATCGTGGCATGCGTCAGCTCCAACAGAAGGAGCCCGTGGCAAGGGAAACGTGGCCCAGCACGGGCTGGGAGCCCACGCTGCTCAGCTGCCGAGGAGTCTGAGCACGTCACATCACTCCAGAGTCCCCTGCGCCCAACCTCTTGCGTGCACTGGTTCTTCACAGCCAAGATGGCCCCTCCTGTGCAGTGCCGACCCGAGGGGATGCCATCCTGCCGAGCATCGCCGCGCCATATTAATATTTAACAGCGAGGAAGAGATCCAGAGACTTTGATTTCTCCCACTGGCCAATTCAAGGATAATTGAACTGCATGGGGAATTTCGGCGTTTCAGAGGGTGGTTTTGTTCCAGTTCGCAACAAAACCCAGCCATGCCGCAACGCCCTACGAAAAGGATCGCAGCCCAGTTTCAGGCAGCCTCCCTGTGGCAGAGGCAGGTGGGTAAGCGGCACAAAATACAGCCGATCTCAGGGTCAGGCAGGTCCCACCAAACCCTCCACCCCCAGAACTTCAGTAAAAATCTGGATAAAATGGTTTCTTCTGAATGTTTCCATCCAATTCCAGATTTGTGACCCCAACGCAACGTCAATTTGCCCTTATCACACCCTTCCAGCAGAGGCAGCTCTTGCTGTAGAGGCAGAGCAAGTGGGGCACAGTGAATTTTAACACACGTGCCCAGAGTCATGCAAGAAATCAGCCAAAGAGGCGAAACGAGCCCAGCGTTTCTGGCTCTCAGCTCTGGGCTGTGCCAGCTATTGCTTTCTCTTGCATATAAATCACTTTTCCCCACCAGTGAAGGACAGCTGGTCACTGAATGGAAAGCAGCAGTTGTTCAGCAGCCCACAGCAACACTGCACACCAGCTTAGGGTGGGAAGTGGAGAACACTCAGCATGCAGAGGAGGCTGCCAGGGGATCTGGGCCAGCAGAATGGAGCAGCTGGAATCTGGCCAAAGCCCAGTGCTCCTGCAAAATCAAGTTTAAAAACCCCACAGAAGAATGAGTCTCCCTTGTTTTTGCCAGCAGAGCAGGTACCTCTGCCAGGTCAGCTCCAGGTGGCAGAGCAGAGGAGTCCTTCATCCACTGCTGCTGTGGACAGTGGTCACGATGACAGCTACCAAGCAGCTTTTACAGCGTGACCACCGCTGACCTAACCCAGTCAGCCCCTTCAAACTACAGGTCTTGGCAACCAGAGTCATCCAGTTTTAATCAGTCCCCAAAGCAAATATTAGAGGTGGCCTTGAATCTAAAGCTCTACCACCAGTTTCAAGGTCTGGAGGGACAGATAAATCCCCAGGGCTGGATTTATCTCTGATCTTTGTTCTAGGACAGAAAGATCTCTTACTATAGGTCTTGTATCAGTATGCCAGCTCTGTGTCCTGTTAGTATAGACCAAGCATATCATGTCTTATCACACCTAAAAGTTGGTCTGATTTAACTGCCAGCATGCCAAAGCCAGCAGAAGACAAAAATAAAAAAAGGAAAAAAAAAAAACCCACTGCCACTTCCATTGGAAAACCTGGGCTATCAGAGAGCTGTAATCCCAACAGCTAATGCTAACCAAGCTGATAGGCGCTGAAATCTCTCAGAGCACCTCTGTGAGCAGCTGGGCTAGCAGGCTGGGGATACAAAATCTTTTTCAAGTGACTGAAGGCAAAATCCTGTGGTTCAACCTGCCATAACAGAAGAGACCCTATTACAGCCCCATTCAGTCCCCCCCCACCCCCCCCAAAAAAAAGACACTGCATGACCGAAGCCTACACCAGTGCAACTAGTGCAAGGTCTTCTATACTAACTAAACTGCTTTTACACTAGTTTTGCTGACACAACTGACAAACAAAAACACATCCACAAACTGAAACAGTCAAACCAGCAACGCTCACGGGTACTTTTGCCACAGAGAGGGGGATTTCTCTTTGTAAATCTCCACAGGGATAGGGAACTGAGGCAAGAGAGAGAGGAAGAGAAAGCAAGTGACTCCAAAATATTTGTTAGTTTAGATTTCAGCCAGCTTGGCAAGCTCCTGCATGATGTTTAAACACAACAGAACCTGAGTCACTAGCCTTAATTCAGCTTCAGGCCTTCCATGCTTCTGATCCCAATCCAACTACTACTTACACAAGACCTTTATCAAACATTAGCCCTGGCTACTCCATCCAGATGAAAGAGATCCTCAGCTGCCTCGTCTTCTCTGGTAGGGGCAGTGTTATGGCTTGTCTAAACTAATAGCTGACAGTTCCTAGAGGTATTTACATAGTTGAAGCTGTAGCTGTAGATGTAGATGTGTCCCAACTACTTTTGGTTGTAAAACATGATGGACCTGAGACACAGTGTCATATTCTTAGATACGCTCCACTTCCCCTGCCAGTTCTAGTAAAGACTTTTTCCTAAGAGTAAGAAAAATATTTGCCCCAAGGTGAAACAAGATGCTGCTCTTAAGGAACTAGATTTTATTTTGTACCAGCTGGGATTCGGCCACCTGTAGGAAGTACAAACAGCATCTTTCTTCTTTGAAAGTAGTAGAAGGAAAGAAATACCACATGTGAAACATAACAGTGGAAAAAAACCCTGTGTTTGAAGGTGCAGGAATGGACAGTAGCACGTGTGGGTTGCTACAAAGCATTCTGGGTGAACCAAAGAAAGTTTCGTTTTCACCAGTTAAGAAAGCACAGTGAAATTACTCTTGAGGCCGAAGGGATTTTACCCAAGTCCAATAGTTATTGGAGGCAAGCGGAGAGTGACCTAGGAGGTGGAAGAGTCTCCTTACCTTACAGCAGTTGCGGAGGACACGAAAGAATGGCTCATTTCATGCTGCAGCCTTTACTTCCCTCCCCCAAACTGCACCTGCACATCAAGAGCAAATCGAAACCAGTCTATTCTAAACCATGGTCTCATTTATTTTGAGGGACCCAAAGTGAGACCGAGGCTGAGACAGCATAACCAACAGAGAAACTTGTTTCTCAGTATGATTGTCCCTCTCCGGTGGCAAAGTCCTGGCTAGTACCTTCAGGATCACAAAGCTAGCTGAAAGTAGGGCATGCCCATTAAGCTGCCAATCCTTCTTACACGGCCACGAGAGTTTGCACGTGTCTTTCCCCTTTGGGTTTTAGCCAGAGTCCAGCCCTTTTGGGGACCATAACACAGCTGAATGGTTTAGCTCCTTTTGTTCCAGCTGACAAACAACCTAGCCCTCCCCTGCCAGCAACAATACAACTGGAGCTAGGATTTGTGTGTCCTCTGAGCAAGGATACAGGCTTTGTGCCTTGCTGAGCTGTCTTTGCAAGGACTGCCAACACTCACAGCTGATTAAGCCTGCAGTGCTGCTTTCTGCTTTTTCCTGCTCACAGACAGATGTCAGAAACAAGCTAAGCGAAACAGCACACGCAGCTAGAGCTCTGCACCTAGGAACATTAGAGCAAACTATTAGGGATTAAATAAATTAAACCAGAGGGTAGCTTAACACATTCTCTCTAGGCTTCATTTCTACCTGGCATGCAATTCTGGGTAAGAAACATCCCAGCGTTTCAACAATCACCCTATTCTGGAAGGTGGCTCAACTCATTGTGCAGGAAGGATTGTATTTGGAAAGCTTTTGCCACCACCACGTGGCTGAAACCGTGACTGCAGCCCGCCAGCTACCTGGATGTTCAAACAGCCAGCAAGGACCAGCCTCACTGCCAGGGCAAACTGGGGCAAGCGTTCATAGGTTTTAGAGCCTGTGCCGCGCAAAGAGCGTACAACTAATTATTAAATATTATACATTTTATTAACTTATAACCCCAAAACACACTACTGACTTGCAGTAAGAATAAGGCATGAATTATTGCTGGTAAGAACCTGTTAGTTAAGGGATTACACACAGCATGACCAACTTGCAAGAGACAATGTGGGGATTTTTTTATGTTGCTGTAGTCCAGTCTCCTGTGTTTCATCTCTGGTCGGCCCCGGAGGCTGCGTTGCTAGGGTTATCTTGCGCTTGATAGATCAGGGTTGCTTGTTATCGTGGCCTTGAGAGACAGAGCCTTTTTTTTTTTTAATATCTAAAAGAAAGCTAGAGTGCTGGATTGTCTTCTTTAGTCCCTTCCTCCCCAGTTAGGTATCAGGCATGGAAATACTGAGCCCTTCACTGGGCAGATGCTCACACAGCTGGATCATTAACTGCCAATTGCAGTCTATGTAGAAGCTGCAGGACAGCCTGCCTTCCTTCCCCATTTATTCTCTTGGCAGGGAGACAAAACCTGGCAACAAGGTTTCACGTTAGTCCAAGGTGCTACATTTCAACTGAAAGGAAGCAGGAGCCTGCTGCCTCTGCTCTAGTACTTTGGGGACACTGAAACTAAGATACTCAACCATGACACGCAGCATTTGGGGTAGTGGCCTGTTCTGATCTCTCAGTAAAACACGTGGCTCCTGGCCACCGGCAAAGCGGGCGAAACTCAAATGTGGTCATGAAATGGGATTCAGACGCAATAACGTATATTCAAACTGCCCTTCCTCCCCAGCACCTATATGTTACCGCTGAAGAGGAATCAAGCTTTTCTTGAGAGATCAGCAACTAAGAACAGCTCTGGATGAGTGGTCATGACCAGTCAGGCAAAAGAGCTTCCCAATGTGATTCCAACTACAGCAGCTTGAATGCCTGAAGTGATAAAACTGATGAATGTGGCTAAATTCTCACAAGAAGCTAATCATTAGCAGAGGTCCTCATCAGCGAGCCAAAGGACAAGGCAGAAACTCCCGGTATGTGACCGGCACAGATCTGTAACATCCGGAGAAGTCGCTGAGCAGTGGCAACTCTTATCCCTTCCATCTGGAAACAAAATGGAGAAATTATTTTATCAACAGAAAAGCAGTGCTAAGCTGTGATAAAAGAAAGAACTGAAGCCAGCATTAAGTATGCTTCAGAGTAGCTAGCTACAGAAAACCCCAGCCAGGCCCATTTACTCCCCTAACGTTAAGGGAGGTACAGCGTTGTCAGCTGAAAACCCTGAAGGGCTTGCCAAAGGCACAGATACTACCTGCTGGTAAGGAAGCAGTCTCTGAGGGTGGAATGGTGAGTACACGGAAAAGTGTGCTACCGCTGAATGCCAAACTCTCCCTCCAGCTTTTCAGACCAAGCAGGTAATTGGAAAGA